CTCTCAGCTCCCCCCTTGCCCACCTCCCTGCCCCACCTTGACAGTCCTCTCAGCTCCCCCCTTGCTCACCTCCCTGCCCCACCTTGACACTCCTCTCAGCTCCCCCCTTGCTCACCTCCCTGCCCCACCTTGACACTCCTCTCAGCTCCCCCCTTGCTCACCTCCCTGCCCCACCTTGACAGTCCTCTCAGCTCCCCCCTTGCTCACCTCCCTGCCCCACCTTGACAGTCCTCTCAGCTCCCCCCTTGCTCACCTCCCTGCCCAACCTTCACACTCCTCTCAGCTCCCCCCTTGCTCACCTCCCTGCCCCACCTTGACAGTCCTCTCAGCTCCCCCCTTGCTCACCTCCCTGCCCCACCTTGACAGTCCTCTCAGCTCCCCCCTTGCTCACCTCCCTGCCTCACCTTGACACTCCTCTCAGCTCCCCCCTTACTCATCTCCCTGCCTCACCTTGACACTTCTCCCTGCTCCCCCCTTGCTCATCTCCCTGCCTCACCTTGGGAACAAGGTGTGAGGGGTACAAGGCACTACGCGTTAATCCGTGGGGGCCCCCATCGTGCATGGTGGTATGCAGCGCCCTCGTATGTATGGTTCGCGCCTATGGCGGTTGGTGCTTCGTGATTTTTGTGTCGCGCTTTGGACGGCCATCCCGTGGTGCTTTTTTTTCCCCTCTATCTTTCCAGCCTGGTTCTCATTTCTGTCTCCCTCGCGGGCTTGCAAACACTCTTCCGGTCTAGACGCTCATCTGTGTCCCTGCGGTTTCTGCCGTTTGCAGGCCATGTACGCTTAGGGACCGTTTCTGCGATCCGTGCTAGTCTTTGCGATGCGCTGCCTTCCTGCATTAGGTGGGGCCGCGACTATCCTGTCTCCTGCGCCTTCGCAGCCATTTGAGCTCTTTGTATGCCGCTCGTTCCTTACATGAGCTTCCCAATGCCTAGTTTATATGCTGTGTGTTGCTGCGGGCAGAGTGGCGTGGCGGCTGGTGGTATTGTTCTCTCTCTCTCGCTGCCTTTTTCGTTGCTCACCAAATCCATTTTGAGTTGCCAAGATACCCACCGCTTGCTACCCTGCTTGACCCCGTAGTTTCTAGTTTGTCGTGCTCGTTGTTTTCGGTGTTCTCCTCCTCTCCCCCCCCTGCACCTTGCGCGCCCCTCCTGTCCCTTTTCCGCCCTCAGCTTTCCCCCTTTGTCCTTTTTCTTTGGGCGCCGGTTTTTATAGCACGTTTTTTCACGTGTGCTGATTGGTGTTTGCACTTCGTGCAATGGGTTGGTTTTCGCGTAGGGTGTTGCGATTTTCGCTCCTTGTCAAACCACACTTGCCACCTTGCACCACTGATCCACGCCCCTGCTCGCTGCCGTGCCCAACTTTTTGCCCTATCATGATTATTAATCTTGCACGTTTTGGGTCACCGGCTTTAACCGTGGTGCTCTGAGTTTGGCATGCGTTTTATCGTACTGAGAGTTCGAATAACGCGGATTTTTGGTAGCGTCGTAATATCGAACACGCCAGTCGAACTACAAGCAAGGTGACCGAAACGGAATACGTTACCTCGGTGAAACCAACGAGTTCGATTCGAACGCCCCCCCTTTTAACCCCACTTGACGTTTGCGAATCATGCGAGGGTCAAGTGGTCGCAATTGCGATGACGGCTTCTTGACCTGTCAAGTCAAGAGGGTCACACGTTCAGTTGCGATCGGGGTTACGGGGTCCCAATTTCCTGCGTCATCTTGAAATTCGCGAGTCGGGTTGTTGGTGGGTTTGGCGGAGTGGTTCGAACGGCGTGGAATGTGCATTCCGTAAGGACCCGCTCGAACCGCCTTCCGGCCTATTTTTCGTTCCGCGTTTGGGTGGTGCTCTGACACCCTCGCGAATCAAGCGGAAACGCTTTGCGAAAGTAGTTGCTTCTCCGCAGTTCGAGACTTGCTGCGAAGCCAAACTCAGAGAACCGCGCCCTAGCTTTCGGGACATTGCCGCGTTTGCCCCAGGCTTTGGTCTTTCGCGTTTTTGTCGCGCGCCGCGCTGCAGATTCGAGTCACCCAAAGCCAGACGAGGTGTATTGCAGGCCCAGTAGGGGCTAGAATCAGTTGAGTTGGGTGGGTGGCGTGGAGGATGGAGGGGGGCTCGAGAGATTCTCCTTGCACTGGAAACGACAAACGCTAAGATTGCCCGATCAGAAGCAGCAGGACACAGGCCTCTCGCTAAGCCCCAGGGTATTCTGGAAGGGGACGGAATCGCCTCAGGACCACCCGTTAACAGACGAAATCACTTGAAACACTACTCTTAATTTCTCGACATTAAGAGTAATTACCCTGTTAGCAAGAGGCCAGGACACATGGGGGAATGCCCAATGCCCAACCCCTCGAATTCTCAGGAAGTGTTCTGGCCCTCGTGCAAACCTCAGGAGGAGTTTGGCGGAAGCCCTGAACCTGGAATGAGGATTTGGGCCCATGATAGAAAAGTGGATGTGCGACGGAGAACCTCGTAACCATTGAGCATAAGGGGATGGACACGTCGCAACCGATCGGACCATTGAGCATAAGGGGGTGGACATGTCGCAACCGATCGGACCCCCTCATGAACCAACCAGATTCGCATACTATTGTAGCCCCTCACCTATCGTCGCTAGAAGTTCCTAAGTGCGGCCACGAAACCCCGCACCGAATGTGGTTCCCGATATCAGAACGTGCCCTCAGTGCTGCTTTGTGCCTTGTTCCACGAAACTCTAATTCACGTTTAATATGGGCCAGTGGAAACGCAACCCTCATACATTTCTAGTGAGCGATTTACAGTGGAAGTGTTTTCGTGTCGTGTACAGAAATTACACGAACCCCAAAGCTGCCCAGCTCAAGCAGTTCATAACGAAGCTTCGAGGAGCACATGGGCCACGAAACTGAAAGCTGCAGCAGTACTCATAAATGCCCAGGACTGCGGGAAAGGCAGGGGAAACTTGACGTGTCATACCAAGTTTCCTCGGCCTCTAACTGGTGGACGATGCACGCTCATTCCCAAGTACTCAGCCACATCCCACCCATCCGGAAACTTTATGTAACTTTTGAAATGTTGAGCATCGTTCTGAACCTACGTAGGATGTCGATGGATGGATGTCGTCGACATGCGTCGACAGTTTGGGGGCTCACTTAGGTGCTGTGCACCAGGTGGTTCGTCCTGAATGACACTATTCACGTCATGTTCGGCGTGCTCGAGGGGCTGGTGGTGAGGTGACTGGTCAGTGGTGGCACTCGTGAGGCTGCAGCATTTTCGAAACATTCAGTAAAGCAGGGCAGCATGGAACGAAACTACAGAATTGTGGAGTACCCTGTTGAACTCCTATCAGCAACGTCGACCGAGCTACTGTATTGGCCGCGCAGGATGTTTTCGTCGTTGGGGAATGCGAGACAAAACTGGAGGAACGGCCTTGTAAACTGTAGTGAGAAAACAAATCGTTCAGTACACGAGATGGTTGGTGGCGCTCCGAAAATTGCTTCTCTAAGAGCGTGTCCAAAGTGCTCTTTTTAATCCGTTCAGTCATCCAACGGATGACAGCGGATGACAGAGCTGTCATCCGTGGATGACAGGTCTGTCATCTGCGGATGGCAGAAACTCCAGAATTGCACTTTGGACGCCAACAGTTGAACCACCAACTGTAACTGTGTCACACGTGCCGTTTTGCGGGCGGCTATGGGCAGACAATTCGATCTCTCTTTTTTTTGTCTAAATGTTGCGCTTTCGCGGACCCTGCGTCGTCTTTTTCGTCAACGTCGAATCGGGCAGCTGAATGTGGCATTTGCGAAATAAATTTCTGACACCTCGCCCCAACCCATCCCGCCGCCGATTACCACAAAACAGGAGTCACTCAAGCCCTCCCTCGCCACAGACCTTCATGCGCAAGTTTCGTGAATTTCCCCAAGCTGTATTTCGCAAGGCATGATTTCGTGCGTGTGGCGCCAAAATTGACTGCCGATTTTGACGTGCACTGTCCCGTTATCCTGCCCGGCTGGACTGTTCCCGTTTTTTGGACTGTAGCCTGTCATCCGTTATCCGTTCAGCCAGGGTCCCTGCATAGCACTTAGGACCAGGGCTCTGGCTAACAGGGTAATCGCTCTTAATGTCACGAAATTAATAGTTGTTCTCGACCTTATTCCGTTTTTTTTTTCTCATAGTAAAAGCCTTCCGTCTGCCTAACGGATTGCTTTTCGTGTGATTCCTCGACATTGCGGGTTACTTTTCTTTGATTCCGTACGAAGTGCAATTGCAGTAGGGGATCTGATCGTGGTGGTGTATCACCCCTTCTTACCCTCCCCTCTACTTTTCCCAACTTCCTCCAGCCAAGCAAAGCGCGTGGTTAGTTGCCCAGAGTTTTTCTACTCTTCCAACTGCCTCAGGCATAGAATGCGCGAGAAACAGCCCCCGGGGTTTCGATGGCTTTTCCCCAGCCGTGGCCAAGGCCATTAGCCTTCAAGGATGTTACTGTAGTATCAAACCAAGTGTAGCTCTTCGACGAATCCGTATGCTAACGGGTAATCTTTCGGCGATTCCGTCCGCTAACAGGTATTTTCGGGGCCGATTCCGTGACCTAACGGATTCCCAGGTCTAGCGAGAGCCCTGCTTTGGACATGCCAAAACGGCTTGGCACCCTCTGTCGTCCGTTCTGTCATCCGCTGTCATCCGCAAAAATATCACTCTGGACACGCTCTAACCAGGCCCGTTTCCCTCCTCCCCCCTCCCGTAGCCCACGCATTTCTCGGTGTCCCTTGATCTCGCCCGTTGATCAGCACAGCACACACGCACAGTACAGTAAAACCGCATGCACTTCTCTTCACCTTGATTGATCATCCAGTGTACACCCGCGATTGAATGAACCTGTCCTTTTTTCGCCTTCGCTGATGAGTGAATGCTGCTCCTCCTCGTGTCGTCGTGACGTGACTCGTGAGCGATTAGCATTTTCCTCCCCGTTGCATTGCCCCACACACAAACTGCCACATCCCCAGCCAACATCAGTCACTCACCACCACCTCTTGGCAGCATTCACCTTCTGCCCCTCAGAAATGCGTCATGCTGTGCGCCTCTTGTGCTCTGTGCTGTAAATGGCGCAACCTCACCTTATCCAGCCATGACTGCAAGTACTGCAATAGAATCCCCACCGATCTATTCGATTCATCCCATCAAGGCCTAAGGTCGCGTGATCGGAGCCAGGGGCTCCTCGACTCGGCGCGGTACGAACATAAGATAGTTTCTCGCGGAATGGGCACTCTTATGGCGGCGCAGGCGGGCATTATCCCCAGCGACAATTCCGCGGAGCACAGCTCGAAGCTCGAGTATGCGTCGCCGGATTATAAACCTCCAGCAGACCGGCGGTCGCGCCGCAGAAGCTTCAACGAGCCTTCCTTCGAATCCTGGCGAATCAGCCGCCCGCTTTCCGACTCTGCCGCGGGTCCCGCCGACCCCGCCGCTTCCGCCTCGCCCCCTCCCGCTGCTTCGGGGCTGTCATCTCCTGTCGCCGTTCCTCCCGCGAGCAACACTAGTCGTGGTTACCCTATTGAGACCGACGTAGCCTTCCCAGCCTCCCCGTCGTCTCCCGTAGGTTCCCCGCAATTCCGCTCCTTCCTCTCCTGCACCTCCCCCCGTCTACTCGCCCGCCATAATCCACTCCACGTAGCCCGTCCCCCGAGCAGCGACGGCTTTAACGACGCGTCGCGACCTTCTAATAAGAGCGTCGACTCGGCCGCTGCGGACCCTCAGTCTCCCGCATTCGGCGCGTACTTACTAAGTAGTCGTTCTCCTAGACAAAGTCTGTCTCCCAGCCCCCCTCCCTCCTGCCTCTCCTCCCCGTCTTACCACTGCGTTTTCCCCTCGCCGCCTCTTAGCCCATCTCTTGAACAGTGCCCTAGCCCGTTCACCGGCGCCCCGAGGAGTCCGCATGGGCGAACAATTAGATCTCTCGGGAGCTCGCCACGTGGCACTTCAGCGGTGACTGCGTTGACTGCGTTGACCGCGGAGAGTGAGCAGCTCGGCGGAAGCTGTCGCTGGCCCTCGCCGTCCACTAACTCCGCTTCCGCCGCCGCCGGCGTTTCTTCCACGTCCGCCGCGCGCAGTCGGCGCTCCACGCGCCACCTCCCGCCGCTCGCGCAAGACTCCCCCTCCGCCTCGTCCCTCGCCGCCGCCACCGCGGCAGCGGCATTGGCGCAAGCGCGGCGGCTGAAGCGCGCATCGTCGTCGTCCTCTGGGCTCGAGGGGAAGGGCGGCTTCTCTTTCCATCATTCCGCCGCCCCCTCTCCCCCCATCGCAGGCCCGCCCGCACCGCCTAGCGCCACTCTCCGCTTGCACCGCCGGCACGGCTCGGCATCATCATCTGGCTCGGGTTTGCCGAATCTGAAGCCGCAGTTCGCCGAACCGGCTTGCACTGCTACCGTGGATTGCGCGGGTGCGACCTCCCCCACCCCGTCCTCCTCGAGTGGACATTCCCCCCGCTCCGCGCTCTCCGCCTCATCTGGCGCAGAGCCAGTCCCCGCGCGCCGCAGCAGCAGCAGCGGCAGCAGCAGTGGCGGCAGTAACAGCCGCAACAGCAGCAGCGGCAGCGCGAGGCGCGCTTTTGAGCCGTTGGATCAAGCGAGCTCGCCGCCCGGCGCTGTCCCCAGCTACCGCTCCCCTTCTCTCGCCGAGGCGCCTCAGGACCAGACTCCCGCTCCCGCAAGTGGCGGCTTTTTGGGGCTCCCCGTCGATCGCCGCAGCGACGTGACGACGAGGGTCGCGCGAGACGCGGAGCCGTTAGTGGCAGGAGGAGTAGGAGAGGTGGCGGAGCGCAATGCGAGAGAAGCGCGGTATTCGTCCGCCAGAATCGCGCTGAACGAACCCGCCAGCCAGGGCGGAGGCGGGGCGGGGAAGAACCGGTTTCTGGGCGGTCCGCGCAAGTCGCGCACGTTCGACGCGCTGCCGCGGGGCGCGTCGGGGGAAGAGAGGTCCACAAGCGGCGGGGCATTCGGAACGGCGGGCACGACAGAGCAGGGGAGCCGCGTGCGGGATGTAAAATATTCTCATAAGGCCATGGCTGGTGTCGTCCAGGGGGGTTCGAAAGGAGCGAACGGGTTTGGAGGGGTAAAGGGGCGGGGAGGCGCGGAGGGAGAGGGACGACTTGGTGTTGGGGGCTTGGCGGCGGAGCGGAACGGGCTGCAAGCGCGCCGAGCAGGGCTGTCGGCGAGGCGGGGAAGCGCGGGTCTAGCAGTGCAGGTCGAGGGGCTTCTAGACGGGTGCGGGGCGGCACTGGCTGGCAGGCGGCTGGAATGCTGGGAGCGGGATGCGGAGTCCACTCAAAGGCAGCAGGCGGCGGACCGCGACCGCGAGCGGCTGAGGCGGCTGCTCAAGTCGGTGAGCGGCCGCCACCTGGACCTCCCGCCGTCCCTCGCGTCGCCCGCGCTCCTCACGCCGCGCGAGCGGCGGCAGCTGCTCAAAAGCGGCAGCGGCCGGTGGGGGGGGCGCCGGCAGGACAGCAACCGCAGTCCCAGCCCCAGCCAGGGGGGCAGCCAGAGGGGGAGTGGCAGCGGCAGCGGCAGCGGCAGTCAGGGCGAGGGGGAAGGGGAGGGGGAGGATGCGGACGCGGACGACGAGCGCAGCAGGGAGATGCCCCTGCTCGACTCCCCCACCGCCTTCCGCCCGTCCGCGCGCTCGCCTGCTCACTCCCCCAGTGCCTCTCGCCGCCCCTCCGCCGGATCCTCCCCCCTCCAATCCGGAGGCTCCTCCCCCCATCCCTCCGCCGGTTCCCTGAACGCCTTCGCCTCTAGCCGCTCTGCTGGCGCGGCGGCAGCAGCCCAGCCGCTTACCCCCTGGCTGTTCGCCAAGTCCGAGTCTGCTACAGCAGCTGAGGCGCCTAAAATAGCGGCCCATGCGCTTAGTCCCTGGCTGCTCGCTAAGTCCAAGTCTGACACGGCAGCCCAGCCTGCTGTCGCTGCTGCCTGTGCCGCCACCCATGCCGCCGCCATGGGGTTGCATCTCCCCTACCCAGCGCCCCTCCCCCCCGCGCTCCTCTCCCCCACAGCGCACCGGCAGGCTCTCGGGTCGTCATTGGCGTTCCTCGACGCCCTCGACAGCCCGCCGGCTGCCGCGTCAGCCTGTGGGGACGGCAACAGCTGCAGCAGCAGCAGCAGCAGCAGGGAGGGGCGTGGGGCGACTGCTGGCATTCACCATGGTGCGCTGGGTGATGCGGATGGCCGGAGGACCAGTCAGGTGGTTCGTCAGGTGGTTCGTCAGGTGGGTAGGCGCGTGGGCGGCAGCATGACGGACATGTATGTGCACATGGAGAGTGTGGGTGTGGCGCCAGAGAGGGAGGTGCGGGAGCAGCAGCCACTGCAGGGGCTGAGGCAGCAGCAATGGCAGCAGCAATGGCAGCAGGCAGGGCAGCAGGCAGGGCAGCAGGCAGGGCAGCAGCACCCGTGGGTGGGAGATGTTGCCCATGCCTTGGCGTGTGCTCGTGAGCTAGACGCCACGTCAGCGCACCGGCGAAGATCCGTGGGAGGTGCAGCAGATGCGGAGAGTTGGGGCAGGGGACACGAAGCTTATAAGGAGGACGACTATGGGGAGCGAGGTCACTACCAGGAGCAGGGAGCGTTGCATGAGAGCATGGGTTGGGGCAGGGGCGGTCACCGACAGGGCTGGCGTGAGCTCATGCGGTGGTGCAGCAGCAGCGGCGCCGGCGCTGGCATTGTTGGTGGTAATGGCAGTAACAGTCGGACGCAGATGGCAGCACTGCTCTCCTCCTGTCACCTGCTGCGGCACTCCCTGGCCTCTGCCTCCTCTGCCTCCACCCTCCATGCCTTCGCTGCTGCCGTCGCACATGCCGATGCCGATGCCGTTGCCGAGGCTGATGATGCTGCTGACGCTGCTGGTGGCGGCAGGGACCCTGGTGACACACGGTGGGGAAATGCTGCGGCTGCTATACCGACCGTGGGGTCATCGTCCGGCCCGCTCCCTCGCACTGCCCTTGCCCAATCTAGTAAGTACTGCAGCCAGGGCAGCAGCAGGGGCAGCAGGGCAAGCAGGGACAGCAGGGACAGCAGGAGCACGAGGGGCAGTGGCAGGATCAGGTCGAGCTCCAGCATGAGTCCGCTGGACTTCGTTTCGGGGCGGCGGGAGGAGCTGGAGGTAGGAGGAAAGGGCTTTGCTCGCCTGGGCTCGGGCGTTGCGTTCTCACCTCGTAGAAATGAGGGCGGTAGGAGCCGGGGGACGGGGGGATTCGAGGAGGAGGAAGAGGAGCAGGGGGAAGGCGGAGAGGAGGGGCGGTGGGAGAGCGATGGGGCAGGGCTGGGGAGTCCGGGAAGTAGCACTGCGGAGGAAGAGTGGCACGCGTGGAAGGCCAGGGGGGTGGCTGCTGCTGCTGCTGGGGGTGCTGATGCTGGTGCTGCTACTGGTGCTGGTACTCATGGTGTTGGTGGTGACAGTGGTGATGGTGACAGTGCTGGCGGTGGTGGGGGGAAAGGGGATGAGGGGTTCAGGCAGTACGTGCTGGGCATGCCGTACGAGGGCCTGCAGGGGCGGTACCATGTGGTGCGGGGGCGCATAGGCGAGGGCATGTTCGGCCGTATCCGCACGTGCGTGGAGCTCAGCACGCGGCGGTCGTTCGCGTGCAAGTCAATAGCCAAGAAGAACTTCCAGGTGAGAAGAAAGGGGCTTTCCAGGCGGGCTTCGATGTGAGTAGGACGGCATTGATGGGTGGAGCATGGGGAGCGCAGCAACAGCAGCACCCGGAGATCGTTCGTGTGCAAGTCGATTGCCAAGAAGAACTGAGTCATCCGGTGAGAAGAAGAGAAGAAGGCTCCTGCTTACATTACACAGGTGCAATCTGGCGTTGTGTCTGAGTCATCCGCTTTTCAAAAGCTCACCCGCTCCTCCCCCCTCTCTGATTGTGCAGTGCGCGGAGGACGCGGCGGACGTGCGGCAGGAGGTGGTGATGCTGAACATGCTCAAGGGCCACGCGCACATCGTAGGACTGAAGGAGGCGCTGGAAGACGCCAAGGTGCGTTGCTGAGAGCACTGAGCATGCTTAGTGTGCATGCCTCGTCACTGGTAAGCTTTCCCTACAGTCAACATGCTCAAGGGCCATGCGCACATCATAGGGCTCAGGGAGGCGCTTCGCCAAGGTGTGTTGCTGTGCACGCTTTGTGGGCATGCCCAGTGAGCATGCCCAGTGAGCATGCCCAGTGAGCATGCCCAGTGAGCATGCCCAGTGAGCATGCCCAGTGAGCATGCCCAGTGAGCATGCCCAGTGAGCATGCCCAGTGAGCATGCCCAGTGAGCATGCCCAGTGAGCATGCCCCCTGCACTGATAAGCTTACGATTTCCCTCATGCTCAACATGCTCAACATGCTCAACGGCCATGCGCGCATCATAGGGCTCAGGGAGGCGCTTAAGGACGCCAAGGTGCGTTGTTCAGCATTCCCAATGGCAGGGCCAGCACCCGCCTGCACAACTCACCTTGGCGTCATTGGGCGCAGGCGGGTGCTGCACCTGCAGGGGGTTGACCGCATCAACCCCCTGCTCCCAGCACTCCCCTCTCTCCCTTCCCTCCCTTCCCTCCCTTCCCTCCCTTACAGACCAATAATCCAGTTTCTCACATCTCATGTGCTCCCTACCCCGCCACCCCCCCACCCCCCTCCCCAGTCCATCCACCTCATCATGGAACTGTGTCTGGGCGGCGACCTCTTCGACGCAGTGAAGGCGCGCAAGCACCTCCCGGAGCCGTTAGCGGCGCGGCTGCTGCAGCAGCTGGTGGCGGCACTGCTGCACTGCCACGCCACCGGCATCGTGCACCGCGACGTCAAGCCCGAGAACATCCTGCTGGTCTCTTCTGGGGCGGCTGATATGGCCACTGGAGGGAGAGGTGGGGGAGATGGGGGAGGCGGGAGTGAGGACCAGCCATGTGATGCTGGCAGGGCTGCATCGTTTCTGGATGGTGGGGGGTGCGGGCTGCGCATCAAGCTCATTGACTTTGGCGTAGCAGCGTTCCTCGACCACGGTAAGGGCAAGCCTCAAGCCTGGAACTTCCTCAAGGTGATTATTGAGTCGACTCAAAGGTGAATTTTGAGGTGACTCAACAGTGACTTTTGAGTTGACTCAAAGATCATCCTTTGCAGCCACCCCCCGGTCCAGCCTCCCTCCTCGCCCCTTCAAGCTGCCCGCCTTCTTCCTTTCCTCCCGCCTCCATCACTCCCCATCACCCCACCCGCCCAGACGGCACGTGCAAGCACACAGCAGGCACAACCGAATACATGGCCCCTGAGGTCCTTTCCTGCGGGCGCTACAACACCCAAGTGGACGTGTGGAGCGCGGGGGTGGTGCTCTTCATCATGCTCTCGGGCGTGCTGCCCTTCTGGGCGTCGCACAGCGAGGGCCGCACCATAGAGGACGCCGTGCTGCACCAGCCGCTGCGCTTCGGGTACTTCCGCTGGGCGGCGGTGTCGGGGGAGGCCAAGGACCTGGTGGGGAGGATGCTCACGAGGGACCCAGAGAAGCGAATCTCGGCCCTGCAAGTGCTGGGTGAGTGGGTGGGCGGGCGTGTGATGCGCTCATCTATGCTTGTCCGCCTCATTCCGTTTGCCCTCCATGCCCGTTCTTGACTGACGGTCTTTCTCCCTCGGGCCTCTCCTTGCTGCCCTTGTGTGTGTGCCCCCCCCCGCCCTCTCTATCTCTATCCCTCTTCCTTCCTCGTGCCAGAGCATCCGTGGATTCGACAGCACTGCTCCAAGTGACAGACGCTGACTGCTACAGAGTTCAGGACTTAGCTGCATTTCTTGAAGCACACAATAGTCTGCCTGCTTTGGCTACACTTTTGAGGCTTTTCGCATTGCGATATATAGTAGAGCTTTGTTACCTACATGTAACCTGTTTTGCCATAAATTGATTTGTATTTATTCAGCCTTGCAATACAATGCAAGACCCTTGTTGAAGTGCAGCTCACCGCCAGTGAACATCCCCGTGTTAAAATTATATAAGTTATAATTTTATATAGGCTTGGTAGGTTGCTACTGAACCTTTCTGTAGGGGGTACAAACCCCTCCTTGTACTCCCTTCTCTTCCTAATCCATCTCTCTTTCTTCTCGACTTTCCTCCTACTCCTAGATCCGTTTTTCCTAGCGCCGTTCCATGGCGGCCTTGCTCCTATCCTAGCTAAGCTAGTGTCCTAACTTTAGGGACCTAGCATCCTAAGTTCTTAACATGGTATCAGAGCAGGAGATCCTTCCTGCTGGACTGCCTCCTCTCGCTTCCGCCATTTACTCCTCACCCTCATTCACTCCAGCGGCCATGGCGGCCGCGTTTTGCTGCAGTGGCGACGTCGCGCTGCCACTGGGCGCGTCGTGCCGCGACCGGCCCGACGTGCTGCCGCGGAGTCGGGCCGTCGTTCTGCAGTCGCAGCGTCGACGCCCCGCTGCGGCATCGACGCTGCCATGGCGGCCGCGGCGGCGTCACGCTGTGGCGTCGTCGTCTGTTCGCCGGCTGCGCCGTCCTGCCGCGGCCGTCTCGACACGCGACCGGGACGACGTCAGCGCGACGCCGCGGCTGCGCCCCTCCTGGGCCTCGTCGCGCCCTGCCTGGCCCCGTCGCCCTCTGCCCGGCCCCGTCGCCCCCTGCCAGGACGCCGTCGTCCCGCCTGTAAGCGCCGCGCCATTTATGGCGCGACGCTGAAGACTCGCCCCGCCCCTCCCCCCCCCCCCCCCCCCCCATTCTCCCTTCCCCCTGCGTCTTCCCTTCCTCTTGTCGCAGCTGCTGTCTTCTGCCCGGACGTTGCCACATCGCCGAGAGCCCTCAGCCGCGGCAGTCGCCGCCTGTCGTCGGCGACCCAGCCGCCTTGAGCCAGAGCTCCGCGGCTGCTTGTCGCTGACCCGCCTAGACGCCGTCGGCTGCCTCGTGTACGGGGGTGTGTCAACGCTTTGCCTGAGGGTCAGATACCCGGCTAAGCACGAGCCTGAGGGTGTGCGGGGTTAGGGGGTGGGTTGGGTGCGGGTGTGGGGGTGTGAGTGGGCTTGGCACTACCAAGCCTAGGGGGTGTGTTAAAATTATATAAGTTATAAATTTATATAGGCTTGGTAGGTTGCTACTGAACCTTTCTGTAGGGGGTACAAACCCCTCCTTGTACTCCCTTCTCTTCCTAATCCATCTCTCTTTCTTCTCGACTTTCCTCCTACTCCTAGATCCGTTTTTCCTAGCGCCGTTCCATGGCGGCCTTGCTCCTATCCTAGCTAAGCTAGTGTCCTAACTTTAGGGACCTAGCATCCTAAGTTCTTAACACCCCGCACTATCATGACTGTTGGAAATATCTCAAAGGACTTAAGCGTTTCTGAAGTGTAACACTGCACTCGAGGAAGACTACAGGGGAGCACGCGAGTCAACGGAGGTTACATGAGGGGGCGGACAAAGAATGCGAAAAGACTCGAAAGGTCGCAACTGGAGGTTGCGACTGACCGTTACAACATCACGGATGGTAATCGAAGCGGCAATCGAGTCGCTGTGCGACTCGATAAACCGTTCCTGTAACTGTACTCTACAACTGCTTTCTTATCTTCTATATATTGTTGTATGCTTGTTTTTTTAATCAATCACTTGTTCTCATATACTAGTACAAGGGTTCAACTGCCTCAACTTCCGCTGCACTACTCAAGTCTTAATCTTCAACTGGGACTTAGTCTCTGAAAAGATCCTAAGGGCATTTCTCAGCCCAACATGGTATGAGAGCTAGTCAGAGACCAAACTCCCAGCAACTGCGCTCTATCAACAACCTGCAACTCAACTCAATTCAACGACTTCATTGATTACAAGACATGGACAGCAAGGGCAAGAAAATCTCTACGGGCTCACCCAGCGGCCAAGAAACTCAACACGGCAACTCTGTGTCAAACATCTGTATTTGTTATGTTTGTATAGACTGTATAGGGTTACCGCTTAGAGGGTACAACACTTAGGTATATTTGTGTGTACTCTCATCTTTACTATTATTCAATTATTCTGATATGGTATCACGCGTAGGTAGGATCCCCCCCCCCCCCCCCCACCTACCGCTTCCGCTCATGCCCCCTAGCGCCCCTCCTGGGCCCCGTCGCGCTCCTCCCAGGCCCCGTCGCGCTCCTCCCAGGTCCCGTAGCGCCCCGTCGCGCCCCTCCTGGGCCCCGTAGCGCCCCTCCTGGGCTTCGTAGCGCCCCTCCTGGGCCCTGTAACGCCCCTCCCAGGCCCCGTCGCGCCCCTCCCAGGCCCCGTCGCGATCCTCCCAGGCCCCCCTAGCGCCCCTCCTGGGCTCTGTCGCGCTCCTCCCAGGCCCCGTAGCGCCCCGTCGCGCCCCTCCTGGGCCCCGTAGCACCCCTCCTGGGCCTCGTCGCGCCCCTCCGGGGCTTCGTAGCGCCCCTCCTGGGCCCTGTAACGCCCCTCCCAGGCCCCGTCGCGCCCCTCCCAGGCCCCGTCGCGCTCCTCCCAGGCCCCCGTAGCGCCCCTCCTGGGCTCTGTCGCGCCCCTCCTGGGCCCCGTCCCGCCCCTCCCAGGCCCCGTCGCGCCCCTCCGTGGCTCCGTAGCGCCCCTACTGGGCCTCGTCGCGCCCTCCCTGGGCCCTGTAGCGCACCTCCTGGGCCCCGTCGCACCCTGCCCGACCCCGTCGCAGCCGCCCGGCCCCGTCGCGCCCGCCCGGCGCCGTCGCACCCGCCCGGCCCCGTCGCGCCCGCCCGGCGCCGTCGCAGCCGCCCGGCCCCGTCGCGCCCGCCCGGCCCCGTCGCAGCCGCCTGGCCCCATCGCGCCCGCCCGGCCCCGTCGCAGCCGCCTGGCCCCGTCGCCCTTGCCTGGCCCCGTCGCAGCCGTCCGGCCCCGTCGCACCTGCCCGGCCCCGTCGCACCCTGCCCGGCCCCGTCGCAGCCGCCCGGCCCCGTCGCACCCGCCCGGCCGCCGTCCCGCTCGCCCAGCCCCGTCGCACCGGCCCGGCCCTGCCGCACTCGCCCGGCCCCGTCGCCCCAGCCCGGCCCCGTCGCGCCCGCTCGGCCCCGTCGCCCCGTCCCGGCCCTGTCGCACCAGCCCGGTCCCGTCGCGCCCGCCCGGCCCCGTCGGGCCAGCCCCGGCCCCGTCCTCCGCACTGGTACGGTTCCCCCCCCCCCCCACCCCGCCCTGCTCCGTGCCGCCCCGCACCACACTGTACTGCCTGGCACCGCACTACACCGCACTACACCGCACTGCACCGCACTGCACCGCACTGTACCGCACTGCACCGCACTGCACCGTACTGCACCGCACTGCACCGCACTGCACCGCCCTGCACCGCACTGCACCGCACTGCACTGCCCTGCACCGCACTGGACTGTTCCTGATGGCGGCGGAGCTTCGCTTCGACGCTGAAGGTCAGCCCCTAGAGTTTGAGGCGTGGCTTGCCGACCTCCGCCGCCAACTCACTGGTCAGCGGCAGGATGGTGAACCGCTTTCCGCACACCTTGACGATACGCTCCCCTGCCCAGACCCCCCTGCTATCCTGCCCGCTGACCCCACACCCACTGAGCGTGAGTCTACTGCTGCCACTGCCCGTGCGCGCTCTGTCTGGCTTTCTCGCGATGCTGTTGCCCAGCTTGCCATTAGCAACGCCCTTCCCCCATCCGAGCGTCCTCGCTTTAGGTCTCTCACTACTGCTCAGGCATACTTAGATGCTGTGATCAAGCGCTATTCCACCCCTCCGGCTGCCTCGGTGGGTCGCCTGATCCTTCCGATGCTCTTTCCTGACCTTGCATCTTTCCCCACTGTCTCTGACCTCGCTGCCCACCTGTGCTCGATAGATGAGACCTGGCGCGCTGCCTGCACTGACGCCCAGCTTAGAGCCCACTAGCCGCCCATTACCTCTACCCTCTATCTGCTTGCCACCCGCCTCACTGACCGCCTTGCTGTCGCCCGCGACCGCTTTCTTAGCGTTCACCCCGCAGACCTCACCCTCACTGACTTTGTAGACACCCTGACTGTGATAGAGACTCGTCACCGCTCCATCGCCCAGGCGAGCGGTGTCGTGCCGGTCCCTATCTTTCAGGGTTGTGCCCCCGTTCAGTGCACCTTCTCCGACGGCTCTGCCGCAGTGGCTGAGACTGCTGCTGCAGCGCAGGTCCGTTCGGGGAAGGGCCGCCGCCCCAAGGCTGGGCGCGGCGGAGGAGGCGGCGGGGGTGCGGGCGGGGGTAGTGGTGGGGTCGGGTCGCCTGGTGCTGGAGTGGACGAGGGGACCCTGCCCAGTTCAGCTGAGTCGCCGCCTCTGCAGGTGCAGCAGCCGCCGCAGTCGCAGCCTTCGCAGCAGCCGCAGCAGCCGTCGCAGACGTGGCAGACGAGTGTCCTTCCGCCAGGGTGGCCCGGCGCTGGCGGTGGCCGGGCGCGTGGTGGTGTGCCGCGTGGTGGCTCTGGCGGCGGGCGTTGTCAGTACCAGATCCAGACCGGTCCTCGCCGCGGCTTCGTTTGCGGTAAGATCGGTCACTCCACTCCCCGCTGTTTTCGTCGCCTGGACGACCTCTTTCGCCAGCGCTTCGGCCCGTCGCCAGACCTCCCGGACTGGCACAGTTTGCTTAGTCGTCAGATTCAGATTTTTGATATGGACATGGATGCCATTGTTTCCGCTCTACATGTGATGTATGCTGATGACTCCAGTGTGCTTCCCGCTTATTACTCACTGTTGCCTAGTGTAGGTGTGCCTAGCTTAGCCTCCCCTGCTGCGTCAGGTGTAGGATCCCCTGCTTTGTGTAGTCTTGGTGCTTCTGCCGTCGTTCCGTCGCCAGACCCCTCGGCTTCGCTGTCCTTCACCCTGGACTCTGGCGCCTCTCGGTGTTTCTTCCGCGACTCCACCACCCTGACGCCGCTTCCTGTTCCTGCTGCCGTTTCTCTTGCTGACCCCTCCGGCGGTCCCGTAGTCGCCCGCAGT